ATAGGAAATACTACTTACTTTTAATGGATTAACAGAGTTGGAACGGACCTTATAGGTCATCTAGTCCAACCCCCCTACACCATTTTTGAGGGATGGCAGTCCAATCTCTTCTTGAAAGCCTCCAGTGATGAAGCTCCCACAACTTCTGAAGGCAACTTCTCTTCCATGGGTTGATTGTTCTCACTGTCAGAAAATTTCTCCTTATTTCTAGGTTGAATTTCTCCTTGATCAGTTTCCGTTCATTATTCCTTATCTGGCCTTTAGATGCCTTGGAAAATAGCATGATCCCTTCCTCTCTGTGGCAGCCCCTCAAATATTGGAACGCTGCTATCATGTCTCCCCTGGTCCTTCTCTTTGGTACGCTAGTCATGCCCAGTTCCTGTAACCGTTCTTCATATGTTTTCGATTGAAAGAGCCATCAAAAATACAAGCTAGTGTACTTGCGTGTTTTCTTCATGCCACCTTAAGCTATTTTACTTCTAATTGCTATTCATTGGCTTGAAATCTTTTCTCTTCTTTTTGCTTTGGCTATGTTGGTTTCAAGTTGTCTACTATTCTTAGATAAGTGGATCCCTGTGCTATTTTACTGCTCCCATCCATCCTGAGAAAGCGAGTACCCAGCACTTCAAGGGAAATCCTGCCATCAAGAAATTGCTTTTCCAATAGGAAAAGGTCAGAAAAGCTGATGGTTCTTCAGTCCATGGAGAATATGGGGATTTACTTCTTGTCCATTCAGTTTTCTAGGCCATTCAATGCCCCAAGTACAAAAACTACAAGGGCTGGTATTGAATTTGGTCAGTAAAACCTAAGATGGGCACGCTACTCTATGAAATAGTGGACTTTACACTCTGAACTTGATTGCTTTCCCATAGTTTTATCATCTAGCTAGATAACATCCTCAATGGAAAGGAAAGTGGGGTTGTACATGTTGACCAACCCAAGAACTCAACAGTTCAACACACACACACACACACACATATATATATTTCAACATACATACATACATACATATATATATATCATATAGTTCATATATATATCCTATTGAAACAGGATATAGTTCTATTAAATAATAGTAGGCTTATCAACAACAGTGGATTCACTAAAACCTGGAAAAGATATATTCCCATTACCTTACAGTGCAACAAAAAAGAATCTAACAACAGCTAACACTAGAATATTAAAATCATATTAATAAATATTTGATCCATACAATAGAAAAAGTCTCCTTAGGAAGTTGGATAATTTCAATTTCAGCTGAAGCTATTAACCAATTATTTTCAAAATAAGACAACTAGGAATCTTTTTCATTCAGAAATATTCATTTTTACTTCTGCTAAAAACAAAACAGATGTTCCTTTGTCAAAAAACTTGCCAGCTGGGGAATTCTGGAAGTTGAAGTCCACAAGGCTTAAAAGTTTCCAAGGTTGGACACCCTTGTTCTATAACTTACAACAGTGTTTCTCAACCTTGGCAACTCTTAAGATATGTAGACTTCAACTCCCAGAATTGCTGGGGAATTCTGAGAATTGAAATCCACACATCTTAAAAGTTGTTGAGATTGAGAAACACGGGCTTAGAGATATGAATGCATGATGGTAGCATTTTTCTTTCTACTGTCCTTTCCTTGCCAAGTTGAAACTCATCAGCAGAGCTTTTTCATTGAATAGGAGGGCAATCCAAGGGAGATATGCAATTCCTGGCATCCATTTGTAACATCCGAATTCTGGCACCATGATTTTAGCAAAAGTCTAGAGAAACTTCAGTCATCCAGGTCATGGTTGCCCCAAAGGTGCTTTTTCAGGAGGCAACTGGACTTTGTTTTTTATTTTGAAGAAGTTTCGCTTCTCATTCAAGAAGTCTATCAGAGCTGAAGAAGCTTTTTGGATGAGAAACGAAACATCCTCAAATGAAAAAACATGAAAGTCCAGTTGCCTCCTGAATAAGCACCTATGGGACATGATTTGGCAGTTTCTTGTTGCTTAGAGGGAATTATCTCCGAAATTCCCATAGTACCCTAATTCCTATAGCAAAGAGATGAAAATCCATTTCAGACTGTTCAAGTTACATGATGACTGCCTGAAGATTGAGAGGCTGGGTTCAGGCCCCTTGCTACTCAAAATAGTATCTTTCTCTTTTGTAGCATGACTGGAAAAGCTATCACACCTTCAGATATGTATTGGCTTTTGCAATCTTTTCTTGTGGGTTTCAATTTACCAAAGAAAGAATAGTAGAAAGGAAGTTAACAACTTTCTTATTAAGCTGGGTCAATTCCAATACACTCTTTGGCAAGGTAGTATAAAGGAAATGCTTACTAGATGTTTACATCCACAACTATGACTTATATAACAGTTTCCAAATTTGGAGCTAGGTGGCAAGAGAGTTTCCTTAGGCTTCTGAAGTTATGATGTGAGCTTTTCTTGACTGCAACGCATTTCATCAGCTGCAAGGAAGTATTGTTTTAAGATATTAATTAATTTATTCCTATGGTTGAAGAATGGAAAGCTAAAAGTAAAATATAGGTCATGGCTTAATTTGATAAACTTAATTACCAATAGGGTTGTGACCATTTTGTGAGCAAGTTTATCTACCTGCCTATCTTCATCAGTTGGTTTGACCTGATTTACTGGAGAGATTAGGTGAGAGGGAAATGTAAAACTGCATTAAGAAATCTTATTTCCAATTTGAGAAACGATGATCCCCATTCCACTACCCACATGCCTCTTGCGACAGCAGCTAGGAAGACATAATGGAGTCAGTGTAGCACCAGAAACCAATAAGCTACCTAATTGCCCTGCTCCCCATCCTCAGGTGGAAAGAAAACTATTTTTTACTTTCTGAATGTTAAAAATCAGAAGGAGACCTCTGGGAGCAGCTTTTCTGACTAACAAATTTTTCTTAAAAATCATACATTTTTTTAAAATGTAGGATTAAACTTGTTCTGCATTTAAGAAAAGGATAAGGCAATGGTACAGGAATAAACGCTGTTGGTTCAGATGCAGCTTACATATTAGGCAGATTAGTAGTAGTTGATAGATTAGCAATTTTAAACTGTTATATTTCTGAATTTTGCTCCATCAATTAATCCATCAGAAAAAAAGCCATCTTGCAGTTTGGCAGAATCTCTCTGAGAGTCTACTGTAGTCAAGAGTGGGATTCTACTGGTTCGGACCAGTTCGGATGAACCGATAGCTCCGACAATCAGCTGGGAATGAACCGGTTCACTCCAACAATCAAGTGGGCCCGCCCGTTTGCCCCTGTGCTATATCCTCTCAGCTAAGTTGCACAGCAAAGCAGATAACTATGGCTCAGCTGTTTTCCTCCCCAACAGTAATATGGAAGGTAAGTTTTCTCAAAACTGCATGCGCGCAAAGGACACAATCACTGAACCGGTTGTAAACCTGGTAGGATCCCACTACTGACTATAGTATGCATCTTTAACCACGCGTCTCTGAAGGTTTCCATTACAGGAGCAGTCATGTCCATCCATGAAACTGTTTAATAACCACTGGTAATACTTCGATTGGGCCAATAAAAATAGCCCAAAAAGATGTACAAGCTGTTCAGTACCCCAGAATTTTTCATCAGGCAAGGTAGCACCAAAAATATGGAAATGAAAAGAAACAAGGAAACACAAAAGACAAAGTGTTTTATCCTTGAGGACTGTAAGGTCACAGTCAGTCTTCCTAATGAAGTTTGCTAATTCTTTTATACTATTTGTGTAAGTTCTAATAATCACACAACTCTCGCAGCCTATTCTCATGGCCCCCAATTTTAAGCATATAAAATCCACTATTTATATATCATTCTTTATTTTTTAAAATAATCTTCCAATAATTGCATGGTGAAATGCTTATAAGGCTGTGTTTGCAGATAAATCTAAAGGCAGACTCAGAATGCAAATTATAAGCCTTTTTGCCAACGTTTTATTTGTCCCCGGTGTATTCATTTGTCATTTAAAATATATACTTCATAGGGTCCTGA